AACCACTTATCAAAAATAGTGTATCGAAGACTTCCAAGGTCCCTTCCAACTCTGTTTTATTCTATTACAACTATTCATTTAGTAACCATTCCAAGTTATAACGGCACTGAAAAATGTGACTCGTGACCGTGTTCCACATTTATGACCAGGAACAAGTGATCAGAATTTGGATGCTTAGCAACTGACTCATATTTATGACGGTTGCAGTGTCCTGGGGTCATATGCAGTGGTGGGTTGCTAACCCGTTTATTACTGGTTCACTCGTGCTCCCCCATTCATTCATTCACACACACACACACACACACACACACAAACACACACACACACACACACGCAACGTTTCTGTGCAGAACCATCAGGGCGGGTGGGCGGAGCCTCCCACTGCCGCCACTACTGGTTCGGTCAAACCGGGCCGAACCGGCAGCAACCCACCCCTCTGCCCGCGTAAATTTTCTTTTGCAACCTCCTGATGAGCAAAATCAGTGGGGAAGCCACCCTTGCTTAACAATTGTGTTACGAACTTAACAACAGCAATGATTCACTTAACAACTCTGGCAAGAAAGGTCATAAAATGGGGCAAAACTCACTTAAAGACCACCTTGCTTAGCAAGGCTCCAGTTGTGGTTGTAAGTCAAGATACTTGGTGATTATGCCGGTTCTCCCTTTCTTTCTTTTTACTCTTCGGAAATGTCGCATTCGGTGCGACAGTTTTACATGCTGGTTGTCCTTGTTCTCCCTCTACCATCTCCCAAGGACATTCTATTTCTATTTCTATTTATTGAATTTATAGGCCGCCCAATCCCGGAAGACTCCGGGCGGCTTACAGAAATAAGAAATATTAAGAAAAGATTAAAAGATTAAGATTAAAACAAATAAGACACAGCAGATTAAGAAAGACAACATGCACCCAGTCTAAGCGGAGCTGGACCTCAATCAAGAGGTCAACAGCCCCAGGCCTGCCGGACATACTATTACAAACCTGGATGCATTATAGATAGGGGAGGTTGCTGCTGGTTTTACAATCAGTTCGCAACTGACGCGCAACTCGAGCGTGCACTCTTCAGTGTAAACTGTTCTTCGCACATGCGCAGAACAATTTACAGTGAACTGCGCACGTTCAGTCACTGAAATCCAAAATAGCAGCGGCCAAGCGGCACCGAGGTTGGCAGTTTGGGGGCATGGCCAGCCTGGGTCGCTGCCAGTTCTGCGACACAGGCCTGACTTACACTATTGGATTTGGCCGATCTGGGCCGGAACGGCAGAAACCCACTTCTGATTACAGATGACTTCTAATGTGTTGAGCCAGGGGTGGGTTGCTCCTGGCATTACTGCCTATTCCGTGAGCGCAAAAATTCTGCCCGCGCATGCTTGCTTTGCTTGCGCACACACCAAACATGCGTTCCGCACTAGTGTGCATCTGCAAAAAAATAGGCCTGCGCATGCTCAAAACGTTTAAAAAAGAAAAAAAATACATTTATGCAATTACAATTGTTCTGCGCATGCGCAGAACTGAAAATCAAGATGGTGGCCGCGTAGGAGAACTGGTTTGGCGGCATGGCAGGCCTAGGTCGCTGCCGGCTCCAGAAACTCAGGCTGCCAAATCAGCCGAACCAGGCCGAACCGTAGGAACCCACCTCTGGTCTGAGAAAGATTAACTGGCCTAAAATTGCCTAGCTGGCTTTAATGCCTAAGGTGGGACTAGAACTCACCGTCTCCTGGTGATTTGCCCAGAGTCACCCAGCTGGCTTTCCTGCCTAAGGCAGGGCTTAAACTCACGGTCACTTACTATCCAGCCTGGTGCCTTAACCACTAGACCAACCTGGTACAATTTATACAATTTATACAATAGCAGAGTTGGAAGGGACCTTGGAGGTCTTCTAGTCCAACCCCCTGCCTAGACAGGAAACCCTATACCAGTGCAGTCAAATGGCTATCCAGCGTTTTCTTAAAGACTTCCAGTGTTGGGGCATTCACAACTTCTGGAGGCAATTTCTGTTCCACTGATTCATTGTTGATAGATATTCCTACTTCCAGGTTCTGTTCAGAGGACCAATTCTCACCCGTGAGGGATGTTGGGCTCCTTCTTTTTAGAAAAGACTCCGGTATCAAGAAAAGACCATGTGGCTTCAATCCCAGCTGACCGAAGGCTTCTGAACTCATTCAGCTGGACATGATTATGACTGTCGGTCACCTCCGCCAAGAACTTCAATTCCGAAAGGACTGTGTGTCTCTGTAAAAATATAGTTTTCTCTAAAAATAATTAGACGTTAGTTATTTGAATGGACTGGGTGCCAGATGGAAATCATGAGGCGGGAGATCAAAAAAGTTCCTATTTTAGCCCTTTGTCTGGTAGTAATTGAACGTTCCTCTCATGTTGCCCTAACCTGCATTTCTTTCTCTTTTTTTCCCCCAAGGTGCAAAGGAAAAACAATATTTTTGTCAGAAAAAAATACAGAATCTGTATCATGTTTTTGGCAGGTTTTTCGCCTCCCCTTCTTCTCCAGTTTTGGAAATAGTTAGGCAATTGCCTTTTTTTTTCTATGTTACTTTTGTGTTTGTGTCCGTGTGGCAATTTTGCAAGCTGAGGATTATGTCTCTCCCGCTGAGTGGTTCTTCAAATATTATTTGCATGCAGAAATGGATTTTTTTTCATAGGTGCTGGAAGGAAAATGGGCTAGGAAGCTCTGATTAGAGATATTGTATATTCATTCTTGGTGCCAATTCATTTGAAGCTGGGAAAAAGAGTATCTTGTCATTGCCACTAGGTGGTGCTAACACAACATTAAGACTTGTGGACTTCAATTCCCAGAATTCTCCAGCCAGCTATGGAGAATTCTGGGAGTTGAAGTCCACAAGTCTTAAAAGTTGCCAAGTTTGAACAAGTGGAACTCCAATGCAGGTATGGTAGTCCTTGACTTACAACACTTTGTTTAGCGACCGTCCAAAGTTACAACGGCACTGAAAAAAGTGACTTATGACCATTTTTCAGAGTTACGACCTTTGCACCGTCTCCACCATCATGTTATCAAAATTCAGAATGCTTACCAAACTGGTTCATGAGAGAGAGAGGGGGGNCCCATCCGGTCACATGGGCGGCAAGCCACTCCCACAAAGGAGGCCACACCCACAGAGTAGGTTCGAACAATTTTTGAAACCCACCACTGCCTTGCAGCATCCCCATAGATGTGTGATTTACATCTGGATGCTTGACAACTGATTCACATTTACGACGGCTGCAGTGTTCCCGTTGTCAGGTCGTCTCCTTTGGAGACCTTCTGACGAGCAAAGTCAGTGGGGACACCAGATTCACTTAACAACTGGGTTACTAATTTAGCAACTGCAGGGATTCACTTAAGCAAAGCTGGCTGAGGAATTCTGGGAGCTGATGTCTACAAGTCTTAAAAGTTGCCAAGGCTGGAAATCCCTGGTTTAGAAGGAGCCACAAACCAGGCCTGAAGAACCTCTGTCCCTGCAAACTCCCAGATGGTCTTCTAAAGTGGCTTCCATGATTCCTTCTTCACATCCTCCTCCACTCCTCAGATTCACCTGATCAACAGCAGAAGAATTGCAACCTGTAGATCAGCCAGCCAGAAGCAACGGACATAATTTAATTCCTCCCCCATCTTTGCCTGTTGAAAAATAATTCTGGGCCCCAGCTATCTATCACTTACTATTCCCAGATCTAAGCCCTAGAACTCACTGTAACAGCATTGCCTAAAAGGCATTAAGAGTTGTTCACCTAATCTTGTGAAGCTTCTTCTCCGGTAACATTGTACTGTTAACTAGGGCATACAAAACCTTTGCCAGACCTATTCTCGAATACAGCTCGTCTGCCTGGAATCCACACTATATATCGGACATTAATACAATTGAGCTGGTCCAGAGGTATTTCCCGAGAAGAGTCCTCCGCTCCTCTGCTCACAATAGAATCCCTTAGGCCACCAGGCTCGAAATTTTGGCCTTGGATACACAAAATTATCTGCTACAACACGCTATCTGTCGACGACTTCTTCAGCTTCAACCTCAATAATACGCGGGCAAACAATCGATACAAACTCAAGGTCAACCGCTCCAAACTCGATTGCAGAAAATACGACTTCAGCCACAGAGTGGTCAACACCTGGAATGCTCTACCCGACTCCGTTGTTACATCCTCAAACCCCCCACAGCTTTAATCTTAAACTGTCTGCCGTGGACGTCCATAAAGGGGGCGTGCATAAGCGCACCAGCGTGCCTACCGTCCCTGTCCTACTGTCCCCAACTTATTTGTACCCATTTCCTGTGCTCGTATTGTTTATCCTACTACTGCAATGCGCTCTACATGGGGCAGCCCTTGAAGAGTATTCGGAGACTTCAACTCGTCCAGAACGCAGCCGCGCGAGCGATTGTGGGNGCATCAATTATTATTTAAATGCTATTCATATTATGCACACATCTGTGAATTGTATGAGAAACACTTCCAGATGACATGTTTGTTCTACTGCTGTTCTTTTTCTTTATTTTTTTCTTCTGCTTCCCATTTACATTTTCTCTTGTGTTTTGTTAAATAAAGAGGAAAATCTCTTGTTTTTCTTTTGGTTTTTTAATTAGATATACTATTTCATCTCTCTCCCTCCTTCCCTCTCTCTCTCTCTCTCTCTCTCTCTCCCTTTCCTGTGTCAGGGGAAAGCTTTGTCCAGCAGTTGTGCTGAACACACACATTTTTCTCTGGCAAAAAAAGATGCCCAACTTTCCTTTTTCATCCAGTCTCTTGGAATAGGATTGCTCACCATTTTAGAGGGAGTTATTTTTTATTTTGTTCTATTTCTGAACGGTGGCTGCCTTGAGTGAGTACAAAGGAAAGATATAAATCAAGGTAATAAAGTAATTAGACCTCCAGGGACCTCCCTGCATAAGGTGTCGTAGTTTCCACAGTTAAAAGGAAAAAAATAAATAAAAAAGTTGCAGGATTCTTTTTTTTTAAAAAACAACATAATTTACCCCTTCTTTGTTTTTTGCAGCTTCATCTAATCAAGGATGGCAGATGCTGAAAGAGAAATGGGCCTCCCTCCGATTGAGCAGAAACCAGGGCTTCAAATATGGACCATCAAGGTAAAATATCATTGCTGTTTTCTACAAAACTAAATTAATTCCAACTGAGGCCATTTAAATCATTCCTGCATTGATTGGCACATCCATGCATTGCCTAGTTTCTACAGGTAGTCTTCGACATGACTGTTGTCTCGGCAACTGGGGTTAAGTCACAATTTACCCAGAAAAAAATGAAATTATGACCTAATTCCAAACTTACAGTGATCACCTACTCCCCAGCCATGTGACCTCGCTTCGGACATTGACGGTATAGCTGCATTTAATGGCCATTTATTGTTTACTGACAAGTCACATGTCTGTGCTTTATGACGGTTTTTCAAAAAAAAAACTGGAAGTTAGCTTTTCGCTTATCGACTGCAGCATTCATTTAATGACCAGGGTATTCACTTAATGGTCACCACAAAAAGGTCATAAAATTGGATCGATCAATTAACGACTGTGACAACAGAGGACCATAATGAGCTGTCTCCATTGTGGTTGTATGTCAAGGACTTACCTGTATGGAAGAGATGAACTACAACAGACGCAGATTTAAGTATAAGAATATTTTTGGTCGCCACGATGTAGAAAAGATGTGGAGACTCTAGAAAGAGTGCAGAGAAGAGCAACNAACCCCTAAACCTAATCCTAACGCTTACCTTAATTGAAGTCGGCTTTCTGCCGCGGCGCGTTTTAAAGCGCCCTTATGTTGCCGCGCTGTTGTCGTGGCGGTGATGACGCGCGGTGATGACGTCGCGGCTTTATCGCCGCGATTTTATCGCCGCGCTTTTGACCAGCGCGGTTTTGTCGTGCCATGTTTTTTTGAACTATTACCATCTGGCAGACGGTACAGGATAACAAAAACAAGGACGAACAGGGTGAAAAACGGCTTCTATCCCAGGGCAGTAACTATATTGAATTCTATGGTAGAGAGCACTATCAGGTTTTCAATTTCAATTATATAAAAAGTAAAGAATGTATGTTTGTGTTTTTATTTTTATAGTTAAAATGTACACTGAAGCAGTGGTGAAATTCATTTTTTTTAACTACCAGTTCTGTGGGCGTGGCTTGGTGGGCGTGGCAGGGGAAGGATACTGCAAAATCCCCATTCCTTCCCCACTCTGGAGCCAGCCAGAAGTGGCATTTCCTGGTTCTCCAAACTATTCAAAATTTCCACTACCGACTCTCCAGAACCTGTCAGAACCTGCTGGATTTCACCCCTGCGTTTAATTTCATTGTACGAGGTGCAATGACAATTAACTAACCTAAACATAAACATTCTAGATTTGCGCTACGTGCTAAGCACATCTATGTTCTCACACCTTTGAAGGGCAGGGCACAGCTGATCCCGTGACGATGTTCAGATGGATTTCATCAGCCGAAATTTGAAACCCTTGAACTGAAGTATAAGAAAAGAGTACAATTGGAAGGATTTATTGCAAATGTCAATTTTCAGGAAGAAGAGGATAAAATGCAGGAGTTGTTTAGTTTGAGGTTTAGTGTGTACAATGAAAACTCCCACGGTGTAGCAGAATAAAACAATAGATGACAGAGAATCAAAAATGTTGTTTTTAATGCAGTTCTGCTTCAGGGAAAATATAATCAACAAAGGGCCCAAATCTGAATTTAAAATCTAAAGTCTATCCTCTCCATTTTGAAGATGATTGATTATCGGCAGGGTCAGTTACAGGGCCTGCGGGCAAAGATAGGAATTTGGCAGGTTCTTATATTCTGTGGAATTTAAATCTAAAGCAGCAAGCCGCTAGTCCTCATTAAGGTAGTGCATGATGGGAAAGAGGGTGCTGATGATTTAGCTTTATCGCTTGCCAGCAGATGCAATTTAAACATCAGTATCAGTGGTGAAATTCGTTTTTTTTTTTTACTACCGGTTCTGGGGGCGTGGCTTGGTGGGCGTGGCAGGGGAAGGATACTGCAAAATCCCCATTCCCTCCCCACTCTGGGGCCAGCCAGAGGTGGCATTTGCTGGTTCTCCGAACTACTCCAAATTTCCACTACCGGTTCTCCAGAATCTCTCCTTAGTTCTAAGTTGCTTCTCTCCTTATTTAGTTCCCATCCATTGCTTCTTGTCCTGCCTTCAGGTGCTTTGGAGAGTAGCTTGACTGCAGTAGTGGTTTGCTAACCGTTTATTATTCGGTTCGCTCGTGCACTCACCATGCAACGATTGTGCAAAAGCGTCAGGGCAGGTGGGCGGAGCCTCCCGCCGCCACCGCTACCGGTTCGGCCGAACCGGCAGCAACCACCTCTGCTTGACTCCCTCTTCTTTGTGGCAGCCCCTGAGAGATTGGAACTCTGCTATTCCCCGGTTGCTTTTATTCCACTTTCTTTGGCTTCCAGGAATGAGCTGACCTAGGGTGATCCTTGGGAGAACTTGGCTGGCTTCCCATTCCAGCCAGACACAACTTTCTTCATTTCTTCTAGCCAGACTAAACCTTTTTTTCAGATATTTGAGATGTCTGTTTGTGTGTGACAACGAGAAAAAGAGATTTTATGGAGAACCGAAAGATGTTCCTGGACACATCGGGAACGCAATCGGAGGAGAAAAATTGGCC